CCTGGACAAGCTTGCCTGCAAACTGGTTCACTTCGTTTACTCTCTCCTCGTGAGCGGCCAGGTCTGTCTGGAACTCCTCAAATTTCTTCTGCAAAACCTCCACGTGCTCCAGATCCTGGCCCAGCTCTTCTGAGGTGACGATGGCCTCCTAGAAAGCCAAGGGACACTGGTCTAAGATACACATCATCAGCATACAGGTGGCTATTCGGAATGGAATGGGCTCCTTTTTCAAATCCAAAAACACTGACAGTTAATTATTATGGGTTAATAAGATCTTGCTCCCAGTAAGGCACAGTCTAATTAGTTCATCTTTTCACTCTGTGATATCAATACAACGCCTCGGAACTCTGGAATATGGCACCACAATCCTTAAAGAGCATTAAGCGGTTTTCAGTACGCCTGAATTGCCAAGGAGAGCACATGGAAAGCAGTTACGCGAGACCCGAATTGTGGCATTGATCTTTGGAAGCTGAAATTCACTGCACATTGATGAGGAGTTAAGGCTCTCCAATGGCAAAACAGGGTGGAACGCCCTTACATTTCAAAAAGGAAACCTATGCTTATTCCATGCCAGCCCAGGAAGTTGGCAATGCTCTAATATCCCCACTTTCCCTTTGATATTTCTAATACATTAAAAAAAAAACCCACACAACCCTTCTCCTACTTTCTATGATGTCGTCACAGATCTGCAGAACTATTCTTTTTTCACCCTGATGAATCACCTCAATCACTATTACCTAATTATCTTTACAGCAGGGCCTTTTATATGGCACATTAGATTACTCTCTCACGGAGCTGGACTGCTCTGACGCGCCTGGTCTCCCGGGATACCGTGGGACCCGGCAGCCTCCGCATCTCTGAGGTCGCAACCTCTCCTCCCTGGCACAGGGATTACCTTGTCATTGATCCAGTCCATCACGTCTTCACACTCTCGTAAATACTGCACCAGCTTCTGGGCTTGCAGCAGCTTGACCCCTTTCTCTCTCATCTTCTCCAAGAGCAGCTCCCAGAGCCGGTGAAGCTCCTGCAGTCGAGTCTAGGAGGGTTTTTTTTAAAAAAAAAAAAATAAAATAAAAACAGTGGATAATTACATTGACAGTAGTCACCTATGTAATAAAAATGGAGTGAATGCTGAACTATGAACCCTACTCACTGATTCATAAAGGAAATGCAATCACAGGTAAAACTCCTCGGATGGGGGAAGGAATCATACCACGTTCACATAGGACTGAGGCCACATCACCCTGGGCTTTTGTAATCACCGAACGGATCCTCCTCTCCTCGTCTTATGTACCTTTTAAGACACCCGAGGTGGTCCCTTTCAGTGTGGCTGCCTAGAGCAAACCAACAGACCACCTTCTCTGAGACAGGGTGCGTCTTACGGGTCAGTCCTCGGCAGTACTTAAGACACGGCATGGGAACGATATGGGGATGCATTCACCACAAGCCCTCGGCATAAGGAAGGAAAAGAGGCTAAGCTTCCTAACAAACCTCTTGGGAGAACTGTGGTTCAGACGAACCAAAGTGATTTTTCAGCCATTTAGGGTCTGAAAGCATTTCATTTCATTTCGATTCCTTGAAACTGGACTTCAGCTGGAACGAAGGACACCCATTTCTGCTTTGCTCTTTCTTCCAAAGGAAAGGAGTGTCACCGCCCACCTCTTGTGTTTGGGGACCATCCGAGCTGGGACTTTGTCCCAAAAAAAAAGGAGCTTTGAAAAGTAACTTTTGGAGGGATTGTAATTTCCAGAATCCCACAGCCTACACGCTTCTGGGAGCTACACTCCAAAAGAAATTTTTTAAAAAGCAAGTTTTCCAAATTCTGGACCCATCTAAGTCAGGGCTCAGCAAGCTTTATCCCTGGACAGGAATCTGAATCAGAATCTCATGCGATGATCGAATTAGTAGGCACGGCGCTGCAAGGGGTTGCGTTTCCCCTTACCATTCTTTTTATCAGTTTCTTTCAAAAGGCAGACTAAAGGACAGGTAACGCAGTATCCTCCTAGGCTCAAGGCTAAGAGTTCTTCTTGTTTTTCTTTTGACAGAAAGGCACACTTCAGAAAGAGCAGATCAAGCTTTTGCAGCACACCATTAGATTAGCCAACCTAAGAAAAAGGTTTTATGTTTCCGTCTTGCCCGTATCATGTTACAAATAAACCTTTAAACGGCAGGAGAGGTGTGGGATAACGTTCACTGCAGGAGGGGAAACCTCTGAAATGTACAAAGCGGCAATTCAGTCGAAACACAGGATTTCTTTCTAGTCAAACGAAGATACTGGAAGAGTGCAGAAACTCTTGTGCCAACCAGCAGAGCAAGGAGAAAAGACACACCACCACGAAAGTGCACACTTGGAAAAAACAAGGTGATCTCGGCTCCACCCAGCATTCCTTGTGCTGCAATCATCAGTTACAGCAACTTGAAAGTCAAGCTCAAGAGGCTGGTAAGGCTCCCTCTGGGGTGGATGCTCATTCAAGGGTGGGGAGGGGGGAATCTCCAATCCTCTTATGAGCCATTTTTTAAAAAGCAGAGAGGAAAGAGTTCACACAACCTGAGAGGGCAACCGATCAAGCAAATGTGGAGCTACTGCTAAAAATGGACGAGCTTTGTAAAATGTGTACAGTACCCAAATATTCCCTCTATTCTGACATCATCACTGTGCCCACTTGTATAAGGAAAATATGGAGAACACGGAAGAAAAAATACTATTTTACTTCACTGCCCTGTTTAATCTGTTTCAGTGTTAAGCCTTCTGCCACAGTTTCAGGTATTTTTAAACTGACCCAGTCATTGGGTGCCTATCTACGTGGTAGTTTTGAGGATTCAATTAGTATTTTGTACTTTCGTGTTTTCAATCTGGGGTATTAATCTCCGGGGATTACAAGGCGGAACACAAATTTCCTGCAGTACAAACACCTAATTATCAGGAGAATGGTGGAGGACACTCAACAGGGAAACCATTTTCTGCAGCAGCTTTGTGTGTGTGTGTGTTTTGCAACATGGGAGTGCATTTCTCAAACTATAAAAGCATCAACCATGAAGGGGAAATGATAGGAAGCATTCAAAGGAAAGGGAGGAGGGGGGAAGAGTACAAAAACAGCACCCAACACTGAGCAATCCACCTACTCGTATGTGGGCCCCCACTTGGGTGGTAGTGACTATGGGGCGCTGAGCGGTCCTGTATGGCGTGAAAGACTGAACCATTAAGACACACAGAGATGTTACCACTGCAAACAGAACCCAAAGCAAAACCAGCATCTACAAGCAGAGGTCATCGTTCATCACATTTTGAGGTATTTGTGATTTTACTGATGGACAGAATCTGTAAATGCATCCATCTACCCCATCATAGAATTTGTCTTACATTTAATGGCTTGGTATCATATATCTACATTGCCTATAGGTTATAATAAACTAGAATACCAAAGATCTAAGAGCAGAAATATTTAAGACTAGAGGAACTGATCTTAAGTTAAATGTATTCTCGAAGGCTTTCACGGCCGGGATCTGATGATTGTTGTGGTAAAACCCACAACAACTATGATCTTAAGTTACCTTATCAGGCTCATTTTTTGGTGATGAAGCGCCCATCTGGATCATAACCTGGCCAAACGGATTGTTCTTTACATCCTTAACACACTACATTTCAGACCCTGGTGCTGGTTTTAATATTTTTCTGCTAGAGCCCTACTCAACTTCTTTAAATACTGCTGGGCTGCATCACCTTGATCCCAGCTATGCGGTCTGTCGCCAAAAGGAGCTGCAGTCCAGGAACATCTGGAGACCACCAAGAATGCCCACGATTGTTACTGTTGCACTGAACTATTTCACATTATAAGCCATTTATTAACTACACTGTTTTGCACCATCTAATTTGATGGAAGGGGCAATAAAGGAATGCATCAATTGGCAAATCAAATCAAATGCAACCCAGTCCAATCCAATCAAGAGCGTTACGGGAAAAATAAACTTGTGAGGCAACTGCAGCATAGCACCTCTGGCTGGAATGTCGCTACAGCCAGCCGGCCATGTCCTGAAGTTTGCATCAGACAGCTTTTACTGACAGAAAAGTCCAACAGAAAGTAAAGACTTCCAGCACTCACTCTTATGGTTTCATTTGCACCATCTAATTTGATGGAAGACAGCTTTTACTGACAGAAAAGTCCGATAGAAAGTGAAGACTTCCAGCACTCACTCTTATGGTTTCAGAGGCAAAATGCCCTTCGGTAATCATCTGGTTTCCTGTCTCGTCCAGTTTAACGATGGCCCCCGCGTTGGCTTGCACTTCAGCTTCAAAGGCTTGGTGTTTCTGCAGCTTCCCCTGAAAAAAGGGAGATTCAAAACAGATGAGCTACAGGGTAGGCCCTCTGCTGTCTCGCCCAGACATCCAGTCCCCTCTTCAGGCAGCAATCCCAAACTATCATCATCCTCTTACAATCATATGGCCCATGATCCCCACCTGCAGATTAGTTGGGTCCTTGTAATTTTCATCAGACGCAATCTGGAGCTTTTCCTGGATCCATTTTTCCAGCTCATCCGCATCCCGCTGGAAGAACTGGAACCTGTAGGAATCTTCAAGCTTTTGTCGTCTCAGAGTCGAAAGCTCCTTGAAGCGGTGGTACCGGTCTAGAACCTGCTGACGTCTCTCTTGAATATCCTCGGCCGTTTCCAGCACTTTTACACCGGTGGGGTCCATTCTCTGAAAATCCAAAAGCACTGACGGTTAGCACTGTTAAGACAGGGTGCAAGTGACAGGAGACCAGGCGAGGAAGGCTCACGCCACAGACCAGTGGAAAACATCATGCTTGACATGCAACTGATTTCACTTCCTGGCATCCCAAGTGGGGAAAAGAAATTAGGTGGAATGACTCAGCAGACTCCTTGCTGAGACGGCCGTTCAGCATATCAAACACCATGCGGGAAGACCAATGGTGTTCCTCCAAGCATTTTTGCTCTGCCACCCCCACAACATCCTACCATAGGCTATGCTGTTGAGAGCAGATGGGGGGAGCAGCAGAGCACAGGTGCCTAACCCCCCCCCCCAGCTTGACAGACCCAGGAGCTGACTTGATATAGAGCAATTTCTTTCCCTGGTTCAGCAGGGCTCCCCCCCAAATCAACCCAAGAGTTGTCCACTTCTTCAAAAACCTGCCTCCCTGTTAGAAATCAGCAGAGAACACAGCACACAAGGTGAAGGGCAGGGAACTCCTTGGCAGACCCAGTTACGCTGCTGCAGTGCGGCAAAAGTCAGCCACCATCAGCCTGCACAGACAAGTGGTCTCCAAATCATCTCCTGGAGAGACTGGGGGTTGCGGGGAGGGGGGAAAATCACTGGAGAAAAGCAGCCCCACCCAGTCTACTGACACGCTTAAAAGCTTTTCATCACCCTAACATGAAATGGAAGCCTAGGGCCTTAACAGTACTGCTTACAGATGGACTGTGGACATGATGATCTTAGGGGCACTTACCCAGAAAACAAACTTCCCTGTCATCCAGATGACTTCTAAAGTAAACATGCTGAAGTTACAGTTAATTTATTGATATTTCATACACTTAAGTTCTACCAAGGCCATAATCTTCTAGATTCAGAACAGCCTGCTTCTCCGCTGTTTGCTGTGGAGTTGCTTTCGTTTTAGGAGAAAAGATAAAAAGTGTACTGGCTAAAACCAACAGAGGCGGATCTGCTGTACCTTTGGAATGCAATTCTAGTGATCTTTTTTGCTTTTTACTTCCACGCTGCATGACAGACCGTTGTTAAAAACCATTTTCTACTAAGCAGCAGGGGACTGCACCCTTGAGGAAACAAAAATCCAAAGTCTGGTTGGGGTACAGAGAGTTAGTTAGCTATGTGGGGACTTTGGATGCCAGCCACTTACGAGTTATTTCTAAAGACATAATGACTCGTGTTCTCAGTATGTTTACTCGAGGACAGTTAAGAAACAGTACCCGTGACCTGCGGAATAAATTCATATTCCACTGCAAGTCTGAGGTTTGCTAATGGATCAAAGAGCCCTTCCAATGAAGTGTTTTAAATGCTTTTTTTACCAACTGCTGTCTCCAAGTGCGAATGTTCATTCTGGGAAACAAATTCTTCCCTGTCATTTGGTGAGAAAGAGGGGCTGCAACCGATACAGCTGCGGTTTTGATGGCTTCCCATCCACTTGCCGAGACTGCGCAAGCAATCTGCACGCACGCAACCGATTCCAAAACCCTCAAAAGTGGGGAAATACTGGCTACGCACAGGATTCTCTTAGCCTTCTGTCTCTTCCTGGCCTCTGGAAAGGGGACAGGCAGAAGAGAAAGAGAGAGCGCACATGCCACACGGGGAGTGAATCCACACATTCCAGGGCTCTTGCCCAGCGTAAATCATGCCTTGCCAAAGGACGGTGGATTTCAGCCCACAGCAGCTGTTATTCCTGTGAACTTTCGAAGCCAGCTGCATTGCGGTATTTTAGGAAGGTGTGGTGTGTGTGTAGGGGGTTGAGGACAAATTCTGTGGCCTTAAATGATGAATCAATATTTTCAGTGATCTATCACCGGAGAATGTACAATCCACAAACCCCCCCCCCATCTGCTTATTTCTTACAGGCAATTAGATGTTAATCTGAAGGAACACTTGAGTGAGGTATAAGACAAAATGATTTAGCCATAAATTCTGTTCAGCCTCATGGTGGTATCTCAAGAGAAACCACAGGCTCCTGTCCCTTGTCAGTTTCAGCCTTGTCCGACAAAATATGTAGCAGTGTGCTAAATACAGATGACTAATTGCTACAAGTGAATTTATTCCATGATTGCAATCACGTCTTTACAAAACTGCAGCAGAGTGAGGTGGAGCAGTGCTGGAAGCAGGCACCTTTTCTCGCCTGTATTATGTTGGCTCCTGGTTATTCTCCAATAATTCATTCCATCTGACGGAACAAGACATTTATTCCCTCTTCTTCTAAGCCGATGCGTGAGTCTCCCACAGCCTTGCCATTGCACCTGTGTCCCCAGTTCTTGGGATAAATCCACGTTGTGGTCCCCCTTCAAATGTATTTCAGGATTCACTGGGTTAAACAAACCCCCTTCTTGCTATTCCAGTCACACAACCCGGCCTGTCCTTTAACTGGAATTTAGAGAAATAAAAGGCTCTCTTTGTAATGACAGTAAGTAGAGCAAGTCAATTGGAGGGAGGAGGCAAGGAAATGCCTCGAAAAAGCAATAATGGACTGTTCTTTCCTACAGGAAAAGGAAAGAGAATACAGCATACACACACGCTGACGATAGCCAGTCTATATCCTGCCAAAACGTGAGTGGCGCTCGTGGGGAGACATAATCATGAAGCGCCAAGCGCGGCAGAGACTGCAGAGAGGAGATGCCATCTGCATTCAGCCTTCTCGTGCCCGCAACTGCAGAGGTTCTGTCTCAACGTAAAGAACGGCTTCTCAACCTGTTCTCTGCTGGTTTTTCATGATGCAGCTAAAACGCAGCCGGCCTCCTGCCACCAAAAGGACAAGAGCCAGTCATGCAAAAGCGACAGAAGATCTGGAAGCAGAATTGCGACTGTTTTTCAACAACAGAATGTTTTAAAATCCAGAGGCACCTGGATTTAGGCTTGTTTTAAATCCAGAGGGACCTGGATTTAACCTTGCTGTGGAGTAACGGACTTTGTCCCTGGCTCTGCCGTGCTCTCTCTCTCACACACACAATCATCATAACATTCCACGCATACTGCTAGCTGCCTGGGACCGGGGGCAGTGCCCAAACCAACTCCTCCCTGCAATCTGCACTTTGCTGATAAGGTCAACTCCTAGGCAGAAAGTTCTAGACTGTAGAGAGAAGCTGAGTTCATTGGCTTTTACTTTCCCTTAAGAAATAGGGCTATTAAGAAGGCAGGAAATGTCAGGAAAAGCTGCCAAGACATCCCTCTTTTGTAGCGTGAAATCACCAGACTCAGGGTTTGGGAGAGACGGAAGTAAGTGAATTAAATCACTCTCACTTTTTAGACTGTAGCGTGAATCACCAGACTCAGGGGTTGGGAGAGATGGAAGTGAATTAAATCACTCTCACTTTTTAGACACAGCCGTTGATTCTGGATTATGCTGGGGAACAAGGACGGTGCAGACACGAGGCAGAAATAAAACAAATGGAAGGGAACCGTTTGAATGAGTTTCTGCAAACTGTTTTCCAAGTCTCTCTCCCCCCCCTCCCCCGGCAGAACGCCATAACTAAAAAACAGAATGCTAGGCATCTAATTGGGAATGCTGAGCACGGGGTATTTTTAGAGGCTGCAGTGCAACACAGAGGATGTCAGCAACACTATTCACAAAGGAAAAGCCATTGTAAAGGCAGTGGGTTGGGTTAAACAGGCCGAACAACAATGCCCATGCCTTGGTCACGCTACACACCCTTATTGTGTACTCTGGACATGGCCTATCTATCTGTGTACTCTTTAGATTACATTTTGCAGTGCATCTATTAGGGTTGTCATTTGTACATCACTCTAGAACCTTCCAAGCTCCTCATCAAAACTCTGGAAGAGCGGTTCATAGCCATGGCCATCCCATGAGTGGCCTGCGCAGATCCTAGCGTTTAACTAGGCACGGCGTGAGCCTTTCCTTTTGGTCGGCCCCGATTCTCGCACCCCTCACTATTAGGGTCGTCACATTGTACATTGCTCTGGAACCTTCCAATATAAGCTCCTCATCAAGACTCTGGAAGAGCGGTTCATAGCCGTGGCCATCCCATGAGTGGACTGCACAGATCCTAGCGTTTAACTACGCACGGCGTGAGCCTTTCCTTTTGGTCGGCCCCGATTCTCGCACCCCTCAAGCTTCAGCGAACGATTCTGTCCTCATGGGTTCCACTAACATCAGAGAAGGAGGGAGGGAGGGAAAAATCCCAACCCTGAAATATTTTCTGCACAACAGGCCAAAAGCTAATCAGGCTTCTTTCTAAATTAGAGCCCTAAATACTCAAACAATTTTCTCAGAGGGAACGCTTTCAACTCTCTGGTAAGCATACTTACCATGCTCTACCACCATCCCTTCGATAATATCCTCCAGTGTCCATCAGTATCTATAACACGCAGCTCTGCCATATATATTCAAATCGAGGCCAACTGCAGCTGCGCATGGCATTTCAAGCGTGCCTGCATTCCGGTATCAGGGACATGGAGGCCTGAATTTAAAACTGCCTGGGAAAACGGTAGTGCAACGCTTCTAAACACCTATTATTTAAACAAGTAAAGGCCAGTTACTATACAGAGGCATAATTACCTCACCATTTAAGCAGAAGTCCTCAGAATTCACTGCATTTTAAGACTTCTCCAGCCGCCACATCCATAGGTATTGTACTTGTTGAAAGATAAAACACGGAAAAGAAAAAGAAATTTCCTGCATGTTTTATGTCCCAGGGAAGGAGGGCGGGGAGGTCTGCTTCTCTTACAAATCTCTGCAATATTAGGGAGGAATAGTGGTGGCTTGGGGAAAAAACACAAAGCAGCCACATGACCAATGATCAGAAACAAAACTGGAGGCAGAGAATACCTTTATGGGATCACTAAGAATTGAGAAATAAGGAGCTAGCTTGGGTTCTGCAGATCTCTTCTCCAGGTGTGGATGCTGTGAAATTTGGGGGATGAGAGAAGCATCAAGAAATCCCCCCCCCAAAAAAATCTGGTCGCTGTTCTTGTGAAGTAACCGACTTGCAAGATGGAAA